TATGGGTTTTGACATTACCATTCAATAGAGCAAAGTTTCAGCTTTAAGAATCTATTTTTAAATAGTATGATGATTTTTAACGGAGTTATGAGAAATCAAAAGGTTCCAATTATTTAGTTTATGATAACTCAGTAACAAAAAAATCTTAAGAACATGAAAAAAAAACAATTTTGCAGAGAAAATTTTAAGCTTTTTTTACGCTAGAAAGTCGAAAATTTTTTCGAGTTTTAAGCAGATAACAAATCCATAAAGTAACAAGAAAATTTCCTACTTTGTCCAGCTTGTGGTTTTTCATATGTAAAAATTATCAAACTCAAAAGACAGTAATCTTTCGAAAGTAGAGATTTTAAGCTTTAAAATCCCTTTTTAAATTTAAATTTTAGTCATTTTTAACGAAGTTATAACAATTGCTTGAATTTTTAAATTCGCTACGAGCCCAAGTTAGGCCTTTTAATTCTAACCAATATGAGCTCGTAATACGAGATGTTAGTCGAATTCTGAAGTTTGCCTTGAACTTAAGTTGTCGACTCGTTGTCGACTTCGCGTCTTGGAAACGATCTTTTATTTTCTTCCCATCGGCAGCCTCATAACGATCTGCCACAGCTGTGCGCGATATCGATCGAATTTATTGTCAGCTGACCGGTAGAACGTAGGTGACGAAATCAAAGGACGTAACAATACGATTTGAATTATTTCCTGTGAAGTATACTTATCGATTAATTACATCGTGAATTAACGGAACGTTAAACAGATAAACATTGGCACGATAATAAAAGCGGAAATTCACTTGTATATGCTTTAATATTTCAAATTTCAAATGAATTCTGCTACATATCAGATCAAGCGTACTCGCATGAGAATGATTATTATTTCGCGGAGGCAACGTTAATTCCGGATAATGACGCTCGACGAATTATTAGCGCCGAAAAAAATCACAAAGTTTCCGTGTGCGATTCTAAGCATTATATCTCCACCTACGCAAAACCATCGCGGTAAGCATCAGCTATTGCGAATGTATCATATACGTGCTTAGGAATATTATTTCGACTTTACACCCAAATTAGTCAGTGGTTTTGCACGAGTCATTTATATGAAGTTTATGTAGAAACCATGATAATGTTTGCTGCAATGTTTACATGGACAAAATATCAAATGGAAAGATATCGAATTATTACGCGTTAAATTCTACAAATTAATACGTGAAATTGTAGCTTTATTAAATAAAGCTGTCTGCATACATAATTTTATTACAAATATTACATTAAATTGGAAATAAGTTGGAAAAAGTTTTATTATTTATAAATCGTCATATATACTTTTTAATTAGAAAACAATGTATAGTTATTATTAATCAAAAATCTTTCTATTATATTTTATCTTGAATGTCACAGCCTTGGAATAGTTATTTTAAATTTTATACTTTAGAAAGGTTTTATATGATTCTAATCCTTTCGATTTTTATTATGTAATTTTATTGCGCAATCATATACAATTGTATGACAAAAAATAAAAAATTTTAATAATATTTAATTGATAAACGCGTAATTGTAGTAATAGATTCAAAGAAAAAATTAATATATCAATGATTACGATGTTGGTTCTTATAACGACAGATTTACTAATAATAATAGAAATTATTTAGACTGCATTACCGTCGAGTTTTCGTAATAATTTTTGAAAGATGGTAAAATCTTTTCAAACGGCATCGCTACCGGCAATTTTTACTGCCGTCAAGAAATGCAGAAGAAGGAGACTCCGTCGGGAGACAGAAGCGTTGAAGGACAAAGAAGTAGAAATATGAAGTGAGCATATTACTATTGAGAATAAGTACCTGGCTTCGAGACGGGTGCTCTGTTCCGGAGAGGAGGGCATGGAGCAATAGGGGATGGACGGTGGGGGTGTAAATGGGGTGGCACAATGGGCACTAATGGATCTCAAGCCGCCGCGAGAGGCGCTGCTTTTAATCTAATTGTCCTTCGTAACAACCGCGATCGCGATCAGTGGTATTCAATTGTGATTCTTCATCTATACTGAAACATTTTGTAAAAAGCGAGAAACGCGATTAGTGGAAATCTATTGAAACAAATGCACAAGCGCTTAAAGCTGGAGATATTGTTTTTCTATCTCTATTAAAGTGACTACAATTATACGTACTTTGTACGTATAACACGTTTCTAAAAAAAAATATTAATTTATAATTTATTTTAATCTTATTAAAATAAAAATGTAAAATCTATTAATACTTAGAATTTATAAATTATATTAAATATTTTGAAATTATAATTTATAACGTGAAATAAAAAGATAAAATATAAAAGGTATTAGATTTTATTCTTTAAACATGCTTATTTAGCGTTGTACAGTATCAGTATTTTCTAATACATGTTATTTCTCTGTAAAGAAGATTAACATATTTATGCCGAATATCCCAAATACACCGCGAGATTGTAGGATCAAAACCGAAATTCAGCGATACCGTCTAACGGACGAAATCGGGGCGAAGTGGACCTCGAGCGTTTCTTTCTCCTTCTTCTAGTGGTTCCATTTAGCGGAACTTTGCGGCATTATGCGACACGGTCGTTGAGCTAAAACGCAAGCGGAGCATTTCGAAAGCGTACGCGTACCTAATGTGACAATATAAAATGTCTGCTCTGTTTCTCGAGTACGCCATCCTGAGTTTCTTCGCCTAAAAACCTACGAAGGTGGACACCTACTCATCGCGACAATCTGTCGTTGCCATTTATATTTTTGTCGATATCACACACACACACACACCCGCACACACGCACACACACACACACACACACACACACATATATATATATATATATGTACATAAAATATTATAATATTTATAAATATTATAAATATTATATTATTATGTATATATATATATATATATTCATTTTTTCTAAATTTTAAAAATTATTAAGACGCAACAATCAAATAATCATCAGAAAACTATCGCTTATAAAGCTCGATAAAATCCTTCAAAATAAAATATCATTCACTCAGCCACGCTATCTGTGTACTCTATCGAGTCCATGCAGATCGCGCGTCCCAAGCAGGTGGTGCAATAATTACCTTCCCGATGCGATAACGCCAGGTGATATCGTTAATTCTCGCATTCGTCGTGCCTTCGCCCTTAGCGACAGATAAATGTCTGATAACGCGGATAAATTGGCCGGATTGTAATTGTCGTTGTGCGTGTTACCGGCATTCACGTCGGGATGCGCTCGTTCCCGCCCACGAACGAAATTCACTTTCAACGGCGGAAAATGCGGAGCTCGGGTTGAAACGGGGCGAGCGAGCAGAGAGGGGAAAGAGGTATGGGGGTGCGAGAGGCGGGGGTGCGCGATTATACGAATATAGGCAGCGCGGCGCGACACAGCCAGCTCTATCAGCTATCGGGGCCCTCGTGGGAATCCAGGGGTACCGCCAGCTGCGCGGAATTCAGGAAATCGTCGTAATGACGCGGCCAATATGCCAAATCTTTTCATGATTAATGACGCAGAAGCGATTTTGTAGCTCGCCCCCGTGTGAATTGCTCTCGGACAGGACGAATTAGAATAGCCGAAGCCCGAATTGACGGGTGCGTCGTGGCACCTGCGGCTTGTTAATCGCGATACTCTGGTAAAGACTATTATAATAATATGTATCGCAACACTTGAAAATATATAAATGAAAAATAATCACGTGTGCAATTGCAGGCACTTTATTTGTAAGTTCCTCCTCTCTCTTTAATCTTTAAATCCATTATCTTTATTTAACTAAATATATCTACTTCATTTTTTCTTAATTTATTAAAAATTCCACCCATTCTGATTATTGAAGAAATAAATAATATTTAAGATTTATTTAATTAATTACTTATTTCAAATTTTATATCTACTTTTTCTTTCATCTTTTAAAAAAGGATTGATTTTGAGATAGGCTGTCAATTTGTGTTGACAAGCAATGTTAGTTTCGAAATAAATACAATTCTGCATGGTTCTTTGTAAGTTTAATATATTTCTTTAACTTAATGGGTAACCTACATATTTACACAAAGTCTATATTGATATATATATTACATATGTATACATGATATTATATATATCTAATGTCCATATGATACATATATTTTACAAAACTCTCTCTCTCTCTCTCTCTCTCTCTCTCTCTCACTCTCACTCTCTTTCTTCACTTAATACGTACTCCGGCGATCCTGTACGGCACTTGATCTTTTGGAAGAAATTTTACGCAGCTGCACTCATCTGTCTTTTTTACATACGGGATAAGGCAGTTGTGACACAGGATGAATATGATATATCGCAATTTTTGTATATTCTTTTAAAGAATTAAAACATAATTAAATTCAATTTATAAATTATTAAACAATGATCTAATAACATAATTAACAACAATTAGTCCAATCAGGCCTTACATGTTGATTTATTTAGGAATTTGAGAGAAAAATATAATCAATCTCTGATATGGATGAAGTACATTGTTACGTATTGTCAAATAACCTAGTATAATGCTAATAATTACGACGCAAATAATAGTGCATAACTCATTATATAATGATACCTGGTTGCACTATGTATATTGCTATCCGTTAAATCTTATTTCGATGTTTTTTCCCTGATCACGAATAAAAATAAACAATCAAATGTCTCCTCATAAACTGCTAGCTGTAGTTTTCCGAAATATTGTATTTTATATATATATATATATATATATATATAAAACTTATTTAATAACAACAAAATAATATTACATATGTATGTAATATTATATAAAATATAATTAGATAACACACGAAAATATTATACATATTTGTATATTAAAATATTTAAAAAAATTCATGAATGAAACATTTAATTTCTATTTATAAAAAAAAATAACAAATTATTCTGTTATTTTTGTTGAATAATTCTGGAAAAATTTAGTTATTCACTAAAAGTCTCTATTAATTCAAAATGAAGTATTTGTATTTTTGCCTTGAATTTATTTTTAATTAAGAACGTATTTGAATAAATTAATTCTCACAATTTTAAAGTCTCTATGTCTCTAAATCAAAAAGGTTGCATATATTCAATCAGCAACTAATTATTATTGATTTATAACTGGTAAACTTATTATTGCGTCTTATGTGAATATTTAATTAGCGCTGAAGTTGTGTAGTCATTGAATCTATCGATTGGACTAAGCTGCTGATCGAATATGTTCAAAATTGATAACATTAATCGATATATCATAACAAATATCCAAATGTATCAAATGTAGTCTGTTTTCTATTCGAATACAGTGGATACACGTTACTCGAATCTTAAGTTCAGATTCTACAGAGTGTCCCGGAAGAAAACACAAAAATAAAAGAATTCTTTGTTGTAATGGAAAGCTTTTTTCTAATTTTTCTTTTTATTTTAACTTTAGAATACATTGGCAAAAGCCAATGTTTTCTCCCGGGATACATCGCATATTAAAATGCCTATCGAACTGTATGATCGACACGACTCCATACTCTTGCAGCCCTGACAAACGAAATAATTTTCTGACTCATACAGGATACTATAGGATTCGTGGATGTTTACGCCCGAAATGTTTACGTTAGTATCAAACGGCTTTTGGACGACCCGAAGAGGTCTTTACAAAGGTATTTACAAAAATTTGTAAGCTCTCACAGTTAATTGTCCGCCTTGCGTAGCGCTTCTTCCGCCTTTACTCTCAGCACTTCCGCGCTTTGCTTCCTGATCTCGTCATCGGACGACGCCGAGTCCTCCTCCCTGTCATTCTTCGAGCTTAGGTTTTGTGGTATGCTCTGCACTCCGAGATTCAAGGGATGACCGTGTAAATGGCCGCCCAAGGAGTGTCCGTTCACGCTGCTGTGATTTAGTGACGAGCTCGGATTCAGGCCGACCGGAAGCATCGTGCCGAGTGACGCCAGGTTCTGCGGCAAAGGCAGGCCGATGTATTGCGACAGGAGTGCGTGCAATGGCGGCAACTTGGGTGCACTCGGTGGCCAGGGTGACGGGAAAACCGGAGGTATGAACCAGGGAAACGCGCCTGTCGGCGGACCCGAGGAGTCCGTGCCGGGAACACCGCTCGCCGTTTGCAACAGCCGTGCGTGGAGGGACAATTCGTTAACACCTGTAAACAGAATTCCAATGGCCTTGCTTACTCCTTTCATGTTACTCCAAATTCTTTTTTGTACAAAACTAGATCGACTTTCCGTTTCTGAACAATTTATACTATTTTAACCCAGAAATAGTCACTCGAAATATTTTTTACACCCCAGCAGCGAGAAAATATAAATTGTTGTAAAATATTATTTTATATTAATATTGTTTAATATATCATTCTCTTATTTAAAAAAAGTAACACAACTCAAGAACATGAATAAATTAAGTAAACCTTATTAATTGTCAAAAGTGAACTAACTTGATTTCATAAATCATTACAATTCTGAAAAAAAAGTTTCTTAAGAAAAAATCGTTAAAATTATCATAATTTAAAAAGAGGGGATCTTTTTAAGAATTGTGAAACGATAATGACATTTAATCAGAATATAATCATTTTGCCAATATTATTATTTGATTAATTAATAAATTTCTATCAATTCGAAAAATAGTTTTCTTCTTTCTCTGATTTTTAATTTTTAATTTTTTTAATTGTGTCAATTTTGAACGATTTTTTTAAGTAATTATTCTTCATAAATCTTTAAATATGCATTTAAAGATTTAATTACTGTTCTAACTCTTTAATTATACTGTTTTAACTCTTAACCGACACAGTCGCAATAATTTCTCACTGATTTGTATTCATCAAAGTCACAATAATTTTTATTAGAATGTCAAATTGACACTACTTGACGTTACACAAAAATTTTTTTATTAAAAATGACTGGCGTTTATACATTTATACATTATTTGTCATTTGATACACTGATAAACCGTCATGCAACACCTTGCTTTTCAAATATTTCTAAGAACTTGCACCATTGCACGATAATAAGATAACCATTTTACAAGTTTTTGTGCGCGTTTAACGCGTGATTATGACTCAGCAATATTTATACATATTCTAGTAATGCGTTTAAATTGTATTATAAGTTATAGCAAAATTATTTTTATATTTGTTTTTACATTGAAAGGGACCGAAAACGTTGGTCAAAATTGGTCTGCATAGTAAAAATTTTTTAATATATTTAATAAATATTATATGATTTACGCACTGACAACCGCGCGGTAAACTCTTAATTGGCTTTTTATTATTACTTACTTCTTTATTAGATTTCTTAAAAACTATATGTGTATATTCTCGTTTATATTGTTTAAATAAGCAATTTCTGTCAAAAACTCGCAATAAAAAACGTATATTAGTTAAAATTATATTAATTGAAATCATTATTTTTTTAATGCTGTTATAATAAGTCATTTAATTATTTATTCCGTTTAATATTTACTTGATTTCTATTAATTTTTTTCAGAAAATTATAATTAAATCCATACCCATAATGTTCTCGAATATTAATATAAAGGGGAAAACATTTAATTGATTTAATCATATATAACATGATATCAATAATAGTGACTTTAATTGTGATATAAAACATCCTAAATGATAGTTAAAAATTAGAATTTTTGAATTGGAATAGGACAGCTTTGTTTTCCTTCTCTTTATTATTATTTTTTTTTTCATTAGAAAATATGAAAGGGATTTGTTATAATAATTATTTTTCAGAAAGTAAAGTATAATTAGTATAACAAATATACATTTTATATATTTATATGTTAATATATTAAAAATTATTCATGAATAAAATATTTATTTATTTTTTGCTTATTAGAAAATAATATAAATTTTTCTGTTACTTTTGTTGAATATTTCTAAGAAAAACCAATATTCATTATTCTAAATTCAAAATACGAAAAGAAATCGAGAAAATCTCTTGCGGTTAAATATAGTTAATAAACCTGATCATCATTATATGATATAGGAATATTGCAAGGTTAAAAAGTCATTAGACTATTTTTACTGCTAACATTATCCATTCGATATACAATCTTTATTCAGAATGCTTCATGAAAAAATAATCGCGACGAGGTTTCTATTCTATATTATTTGCACGTGATAGCTGCGACAGCCAACACTAAAATTAGACGTAATTGTCGCCGATTGCATCTACCCTTCGTAACTTGCGCCCTATCGTCCTCTCATGCACATATTAGCAAGCGTAACGCACATGTTACTATGTTACTATAAAGCGAGGGAGTAACGATGGACGAAAATGAGCTTTCACGATTATTTAATTATTAAAAAAAAAAGAAAAGCGAAGAAAAAAGGAAAAGGCAGCGAAAAAATTTACTATTGTGAAAAAGAACGGAAAAATGTAACCTCATTTTTTATTTAAAAAACATTATTTATCTAAAGAAACTTAGAGGGTAACACAAATTATGCGACACGGGGAAACATTTAAATCATATTATGTTTCAAATAATTTTGTAAAATTAAGTGTCTAATAATTAACAATCACACGCAAGAGTACTTTTTTTTAAGTAAAAGTTTTTAAATTAAAAGTTTCCCTTTTTATTTCCGATGTTAGACATCGCATTGTTTCAGAGATCACTTTAAATTATCTTTCAACTCACCGCCTTGTTCAACGTGCATAAAACTCGTATCTCTGCCTAAAGCTTTTTCCTTCTTGCGCCACTTTGCACGCCGATTTTGAAACCACACCTGAAGCAAAAGAAGAATATTTTGTAAGATAAACATTTAACGCAATCTCAAATAATTAGCAATAAGAATATTGTGCAAGCATTGCGAAATAATTTATTACGATCTTTAAAAATTTTAATATTATTATAGTCTCAATTTGTTCAATTAAACTGTTAAAAAGTAATTCGTGATCTCTATTGACTACGAATTATCAGAACATTAAGATATTCGTCATGAAGATCCAAAATTGACAGAAAAGGGAAGCTCATGAGAACCCCAAACGCGCGTATCAGAGCAGTCAACAACAAAAGCTTGCTCTCGAGGTTGATTAAGCTAATTGTTAACAATTATCCTGATTTCCTTCGTACCCCTGAGTGCCAGCAACCCCTGCCTCCGGCTCTATTCTTGTCTACCCCTAACGATCCTATCGTTGATCCGGTTGCCGTATAAATACTTTCGCTTTCTACCCGAGCTGTTACGAATTTTCGTGGGTGCCAGAAAAGATAGTGGAAAAGAAAAGAGAAAAAAAAGGAGAAAGATTTTATTAGACTTTTAGTTTGAGAAAAAAAACTGCGCAACATATATAGTAAAATATATAAAAATATGTGAATATATAATTTAAACATCTAAAAAAAGCCTAAACAGATATAAATAAATTGGCGATAAATACTTAAGCATATAATAATATTAATATTTAGCAGTTTTATATAATTAGTATTATAATTGTTACAAATAATACCTATGTAAGATTAAATTTCTTAAAGGGAAATAAATCAACAGGAATTATCGACAATTGCAGATTGCCAATTTCTCCGAATTGGCATTATAGATCAGCAAATCCTTTTACACAATAAAGATACGCACAAAAAAAACACCGGCCACACTAAATTTAAGAAAATCGGGCAAAAATTAAAAATTCACTTTATTTTCAGCTCTTATAGCTGTCATCTCAGGTTATAATTTCCTTGGTGCAAATTCTATAGGTCACACGTACCAAATGACATCTTTCTCGGGAGCGTATGACATGCACAAACAATTCTGAGTTTGAAATTGTAATCCTGAGCGAAATTATAATCGAAGGCCTAACAAAAAAATTTTTCAAAATTAAAGTCGTTTTTTTGTATAATAATTAATCTTTTTCCTCTTTTACAGATTCAAAAAGAAAGATTCCTTTTTCAGAATTAAAATATACACAATAATGTAATTAAAATATACACATGTATGTGAGATGGAATTTATTCCAAGAACAATAAAAAATTTCGAAATTGAAATTTTAAGAAAATTTTTTTGTTGTTCTTGATATAAATTCCACCTCGCAGACACATATTAATGCGTATACTTTAATCCTGAAAAAGAATTTTCAAATCTGTAAAAGAAGAAAAAAAATTGTTATATAAAAATTACGATTTAATCAATAACAAACAGCTTTACAATTCCCTTAATAATAAAATTAAAGTCGAACTCTTTTGCATCTGAATAATTCTTTTCTTCGTAAATGAATTTATTAGATTGGTAAAAAATTAAATTCATAAGAATAAATCAAATAAGACAAAGAATTCTATTTTTGATCGAAACAAATCTTGATATTTAATAATATTCATATTTACAAATACATTTTCTCAATTCTATAAAGTGCGCTGATTCGATTGGTCGAATTTAAAGTGCAATAATAAACTGAAACCAAAAATAAAAATCACATTGTCTGTTAATTTATCATCAATTTATCACAAATTAATATATTGATCGTCTTTTCTTTGAAAAAGACAAGCATCTAGAACTACAAAGGTTATAATTTATTAGAAATGTGATTTAATTTTAAGGATTTTGCAAGAAATAACATTAATGTCAGTGTTGTCGAAGACATTTCAATCACAGCTATTATTTTTTAATGCTTTAATATTACTCCATTTAGTCGTTTACTAACAATAAACGTAGTAAATATCGTGTTTATATCATTTAAAAAATGGAGTTTCCTAAAAAGTATTTTCGATATGCATTGCTTTTGTTTTTTAATCGGAAGAAAACGTTGGCTGAAGATCACAGAATTCTAATAGAAAACTTATGGTGATGTTGCTCCATCAATTAAGACATGTAAATATTGGTTCTGTTGATTCAAATGTGGTGATTTCAATATTAACGACGAAAGCTGAAAAATGCAGATTTGCAAGCATTATTGGACGAAAATCCAGCACAATCCACTTCAGAACTTGCCAGAGAATTAAATGTTGATCGTACAATAGTTATTAAACGTTTACGAGATATATTGTTTAAATAAATCAGTTTTTAAGAAAAAAATCTCTTAAAACTAAATCACATTAATCTGTATAATATCATGTATAGTCGTAGGATAGACGGTTGTAACAATTTTTCAATGAATTTCAGAACTCAGTCTTGCTCCTATAGAGAAGTTAAATGTAAATGGTTAAATCTTTAAGATGATTCTTTAATAAAATGTCGAAAATTTGGGATGCCATGGCCCACCCAAAATTACAAATATCTACATAATTTAGATAAAATATTAAAATTACGTGTATATCTAATAAAATAGTATGGAATATAAATTAGTAAATTAAGAGCTGCCATCTTCATCAGACGAAAACAAAATAAGATAATGTTTGCTTTTGTTACATTTACAGGGTGGGCCATCTATTGGTACGTTTTTGAATTTCGTCGTATGGCAACACCGAACGAGCTACAGACCCGAAATTTTGACAGTTTATTAGTCATACCGTCCGCGGCACGAAACAACATGTTTTCTCTTGAAGAGCGTTTTGAAATTTTAAAAACTTATTTTCAAAGTCAGTGCTGTGTCGCCGAAACTGTACGAATTTTGAAAAGAAATATGGGTCGTGATAGAGCACCCACCGAAGGAGCTATACGCAAATTGGTGAGGAAAGTTCGTGAGAAAGGGATGTTAGTGGATGACATTATATTACGACTGTTTTGAGTGAAATTGGCGCCGAGGTAGTCCAAAATGTCATTAATAATTGGGGTGACCGAATGGCATACTGTAAGGCCAGTAGAGGGAGCCACATGAACGAAATCGTTTTTCATTCTTGACGCGGATACTTTTAGCTTCACAACAAAAAAAAAATTAATAAAAAATATCAATGTATGCTCATTTGATCGCATTTTTAAAAACGTACCAATAGATGGCCCACCCTGTATATGCAAGTTTATACACACCTAAATATCTTTCCGGCCGTTGACCTATTATTTTTTTATGACTATTAAAATTGTAATTTTTTACAATTATTGTAATCTCGTTTTTGAGAAAAGTCTATGGTAAGATTTGTGTGCAGTTAATCAAAGAAGCGTTTGCGAGCATTATCTGTCACTAATTGTAAATTATACGTAAAAGATTACATTTTCAATATTCTTTTTCTCTCTTATTTCATCGTTAACTTACCGAAGAATTTTACACGTGTCAATTTCGGGCCTTCAACTTCATTATATAAAAAAATTATGTATTTCTATAATAACTCGATTTATTAAAGAATCACCTTAAGTAAGAACCAATCGTTCAGTGAGTAAGCTACATTCATCGAAAAAAAGTGTTACAACCATTCTGTCCACGACTGTACAACATTGATTTGAAATCCGAATGAAATGACGACTTATAATGACTTCTTGGATCGAGAAAAATTAGCAAGTTTGTTCGACAGATTGTAGAATAAAATTAAGGCAACGTGACAAAATCAAGAGTACACCGAGAGAAAGAAGTGGCATTGAGAAAGAGAAAAGAGGAATAATGTTGAAGTTCGGGAAAGAGATCAACGTTGCGTGACACGAGGGGGAGGGGCAGGAAATTCAATTGCCTAATTGCTGTTAATTATTTAATCGCTCCTGAATAGCCTAACGGTTAAGTGCTCGCAAACCTTGCATCATTTAAGCGACCCACCACGAACTCGAAAGTTTACAAGACCAACGCGTTTCCATAACCCTACCCTTTTAAACTCTCGAACAATTTTACCGTAGAAATTGGCCATATTTCTGCAGACTGTATGGTACATGTCGATCTACGTTACATTTATAATAAAATTCTTAAATAACGCTTTGTCAGTTTAATCTCTAAATATGGTCCTTCTATTAAACTTTTAAGTTTTTTTTATAAATTAGCATAATGCTTTCCTTTAAAAAGGACCTCTATAAATTCTCTTTCACTATAAATAATATTGTTTATTAAAAGAAATGTTTATTGGTTTATTCCATTAAAAGCCATTAATAATTTAATTAAAAAATATTAAGAAGAATATATTTCTCGACACTTAAGTTGTAATAATTCAATATACTTATAATATATAACTCATCAATTAAATCTTTGATATATTCTTTCTATCAAACTATTAAGTTTTTTCTAAATTAATTTAATGCTATCCTTTTAAAAAAAATTTTTTTATGAACTCTTTCACTACAAATAATATTATTTATTAAAAGAAATTTTTATTCTATTAAAAATCAATAAAAAATATTTAAAATAATACGTTTCTCAAGACTTTCTCGTGACGATTGAACACACTTATATAATTTGGAAATTGTTATTATCATGATATTTGTTTTAGATAAAAGCTAAAAAGTTTTAGATAACTAGAAAGATAAAGAAAATAAACAAAAAAGGATGTTAAAAGAAGATACTATCTTTTTAACGCATTTAACTTAAATGAATTCGTGAAGAAGTCGCGTGGCAACGTCCATTATACCTTTAACTTATAAAAATTCCATCAGAATGTCCGGTGATGACAAATCATCTATCGAAGCATAGGAAACGTCAAAAATGACTCGCGATTGCATTACCATACGTGCCCGATCGTCGATACATCGGCCAGCCGTTAATACTGAAAAATGGGGTAATTTCGCATCTGGAATCGACGCGTGAGTGGAGGGACTGGAAGGGGTATACGGAGGATTTCCTAGATTGAAATAAAGTGGCCGTAGCACCACTGTGCGCCGCGGCGGATCATTTAGCGGTTTTGTCGAGCGACAGCCAATTGCCGGCATTGTCGCTTCGCTGTACCACAATGGGCCAATCGGAATGCTCTCTGTCTCTTTTCAACATCATCGTCACCCTTCCGCCAGTGGCCTCCCCTCGTATTCATCCATGGTTACATACGTATAGAAAATGCATGCGTAAGTGTGCGTTCCTCCTCTAAATATATAGTTTCTTTGTCGCATACGTTAAAATGAAACAATCGAATCGGGTGATTCTAGAAACGCAATGATTTGAGAATATTCCAAGGGAAATCGATAAAAGATTCTTTTTTTATTTGATATTTGTTAAAAATAATTGCTATAGTATTCTTTCTATACTCATTTACATGTAATATATACACATGTGTAGATACCACTTGTACCCATTAATTTCATCAACACTCAAACGAATTATCAGTTTACGAATAATTGGGGCTACCGATATAATTTAATTATTTACTCAGTACACAGCGACATTTAATTGCAAACTGGAATATTTCTTGCATTCTACGAAAATTAATTTGTGTTTCATATAATACGTATTAAAAGGAGATAAAGGGAAAGTACATACAAATGATCGCGTACGAAACGATCCGTTCCGTTCTGTGAATTGAATTACACCCCAATGCTGCAACGTACTTGAATTTTCAAGGACGCCGGTTTAAAATCTAAAGCAGATTATTACTCTACACGAGGTATAGCTCTTCTTCTGTGAAATTAACTATTGACGAATTCGAAGCGTAGTGTGTGTTTCGCAAAATTACAAATGGAAAACGGCGGCACGATATTTCACGAAACAATAGTCTCTAATTAGTTAAGTGACTTGCGCCTTAAGGCTGAGTCGCCAAAGTGTAATCCTGCAAGCGCTCAAGGATGCTTCTGATATTCCTCAAACTTTGCACAATCTACGTATAAATCGATCTTCGTGAAAATTGTTGCATGTGAAAATTAGTCGACGCTATCAATCATACATTAATCACATATCATATACATTAATCACTGTATAATTCCATATAACCATTTTATTAAGACAAAAAATAAATTCTTTGTAAGTAACAAAATAAATTTTTAAACTAAGTTATTTCTGCGATTTTAAGGTGCTAGTAGCATTATTATGAAACAACGATCAATTTAATTGTAATATTATTTTAGCTTTAATTTATATATAATTGCGTTTCAAATTCAACAATAAACGGCACACAATTTATATAAGTGAAAGATGTAGAATTTACATATATGTATAAAAATATTATTTATTTATTAGACATTAAGATCTATCGACCGTGCATTGGCCCTTTCCTTATTCATTTAAAATCAATTTTGATTCATAATTATAAACAAAAAAGTATTATAATAATTATTCAAACATGTTTTGTTACAAACGTTATTTATACAACATTTTTTGTTTACATTTTTTACTTATCGCCATGTAAGCAAAAAATTATTGTGCCGAATTTTTTTAATAATCCTCATATTTAACATCAAATTATGCGCGAGCTCCGAGTTAGCCTTTTAAATTTTTATCCTGCTTACCGAATCTAAAACTCGTCATTAAAACTACTTACGAAACTTGCCACTATCAAATGCGCGAAACTCAACGACACTCGCGTGCCTCACGGGCTTTGTGAATTCGTCCAGTCAAAGCGACGAAAGGTTAATTATACTTCTGCAACTGTCTGGCAAAATCTGGCCTGACTTCTTTCCCTCATTCTCTTCAAGCCGCATTTGTAGAATATTTGAATCAGTCATTGCGAAAATTTGCATGAACTAATATCACTTGAAAGTATATGATAGTCGAAGTATATGATAGTCGTAGAATTTCCTTTGTTTGTAAGAAGTTTGTAAGAATTTTCTTTATTACCGTAATTTTTTTCATTTATATTTGTATACATCTCCTGTATTTTTATTCCCATAATATAGAAAAGAATTATACAGATCTCAAAATTATATGGATTTCTGTTTATATACAATAGATTAATTCTCATATTTTACATATTTAAAGTTACATTTAACGGTTTTCTTTATCTAATATATTCGTATACTCTTTTTCCAAATTAAGAGCCGTCTCATAAATCACTGTAGAGTTATCAATTTAAGGTAGACTGGCCCACCGGACAACCGAGCAAATATCCGATGAGTTCCTAAAACAAGGACTTAGAAAAAAAAAAATTGAAAACGCTTTTCTTGGAATTCATCACATATGGATTTTTCTACTGACAAGTACCTTTTTGAGGTCCTAATTAATTTTGTCGATACTATTTACATAATTGTTGAAGGTGTAACGTTATGTTTGAGTATTTTTCTTTAAATAAATTACTATTTATTAATATTTAAAAATAAGTAAATAAATAAATAAATATACAAATAAATATAAAAATATATAAATACACAAATAAATATATAAATGAACAAACAAACATTTAATTAAATAGCTATTTGTTTATTTAATTATGTGCGTGGCACGTCTAAAACTTGCTACTTAAAATATGGGGCTCCTATTATCATTTGGCCTTAAAACATTTTTAGTCCCAGTCCGCCTCTGACCAGCCGTATATTTTTAAGAGAGTGCACGTACTCTTTTTAAAGTCGTAAAACTTTTGATCGTTAATTGAAATTGTACATTTATAAAATTATATTAATAAGAATTGTCAACAAAAATTATACTCTAGAAATTTGGTTTTATTAAACATATAATTTCTTATGCATATAACGCTTAAAAAATTATATCCCCTCTTCTATTTCTCTGGATCATTATCTTTTTTAAAAAGTATACTTTTTTCTTGTAACCCAAATATGATAACTCTAGTGGTGATCTAAACTTTCCAACTTACGTTATATATTTTTACCTTCCTGTCTAAATATTTGCAAAAATTTGTCTTATTATCAATATTTTTCATTTATACATTCTCTATTTTTATTCCTGCGCGCGCAATATAGACAAGAATTATATAGATTTCCACATTGTATAAATTTTTTGTTTATATAAATTAAAATCCTCATATTTAACATTATATTTAATTTTCATATCTATACTCATAGATATTTTCTATACCTTTTTCTATACCTTTTTCTTTTCATATTAAAAACCATTATACTACCAAACTCGTTTGGTATCTTACTGCATTCCTACATAGATTACTTAAAATCCTTTCTATCTACACACTCATATACCCTTCTTTTCTCATATTAACAATCGTTGTAAACTTTCCAACTTATTTTGTATTATTTTCTTTCTATCTAAATATATTTGAAAGAATTTCTCTTATTATCGCAATATTTTTCTTCTTGTACGGCATATTTCTTTCTTCAACAATTAAACTAGTTGGTAAAAAATACCTGTACTCTAGCTTCCGAAAGGTCCAGCCTCATCGCCAGTTCCTCTCTGGTGAACACATCCGGATACTGCGTATTGCCAAAGGCCTTCTCAAGCTCGTGCAGCTGATAGGTCGTAAAAGTTGTACGCGATCTTCGCACTTTGCGTGGTCGGTCGGACTCACCCAGATTTAAGGGATCGTGCAGCGCGTCGTTGATCTGATGATCGCTCAGGTGACCGAGCTCCATATCGCCACCATCAACCACAGCATCAGACGATGTCGCATGGTCTGAAATCAGTGATACGCAAAATTCTAAAGCGCACGTCGATCTCATCTTGATTTCCTCAAAGAACATTTTTTAACGAAAAGTTTCGACAAAGAATATTATTGATTATCTAATATTAATCTTTAGCATACGTAACGATTTTCCGATCCTTTACTTTTACTTTTAAAAGAACGGTTTTACTAAAATATCTAAAAATATTTAGAAATAGGTAAAAATCTTCCGGATAATTCCGCATGACGTTTATTTTGTTTTCATAAAACAAAAAATATAATTTGATATTTTTACTATGAGTTGATAGACCATAAAAAATTCATAGGGTCGCAGATGCATATCACCATGTTCACCAAAATAATTATTATGTAGAATGTTAAAGGTTAATTGCTAGAATGTCAAAACTTTTATATCGCTATTCTATTTGAGCGTCCTACACAATTATTTTGACAGTTCAACAAAATTACTTTCATATCTGTTTCTGACTAAATTTTTAAATATTTCTTTAAATATTTTCGGCAAAATATTTCTTTTCATCTACACACGATGAGTCATTCGTCTGGATTAATGTTCATTACTTATCAAATATATAAATATTATTAAGTGATTTTTGCATATACTTTGGCATCTTTAAAAAGTATTTATAAGGTTATGTATTTAAAAAAAAAAAGAAAGAATGTAGTCCATTATTTAACCAGATGCTCTTAGTATTTCAAAGAAGAGAAATACACAAGATGCAAACGCACTATTGTGTATGTGTGTGTGTGTAAGGATGAATAATAATTTAAAACCAATAACAAAAAATGCACTAAATGAATTAATGTATTCAGCAGAAAATTTCTTAACATATGTTTACTTTATTTAGAGCTACATGTCAAACATAACGTGACATCGAAACAAAGGAACTTTTATAACTAATCGAAAGGAAGATTACGTTCCGTAAGACGCGAGAATTTGTAATCCTCGAAATTTATTTGGCGCATCCTCGCCTGTTAAACGCGCGTATATGTCAAACGGTACGTCCGATACTTGAGCGCGGGAAGCGATCGGGAGGCGATTAAGCCATATCGCTCGCGTTGCCAAAACGAAATTGTCGTTTTGCCTGATATGCCAACTCTGGCGGCGGTGGCGGCGGCGGGGAGATACGGGCGCAATTTCATTTTTAAGCCGCACAACGACCGGTACCGATATAACCGATACGCCGATGACGTCCGATCGGCGGATTTGCCAATTTTTAAGCCTCACCCGACGCTTCATTCTCTCTTTTTTTTTTTTTTGCACCGCTCCATACATCTGGCGGCGTCCGCGTGTACACGCCCGCGAAATACCCTACAAATGTAAGTGCGCACATTATACGTATGTGCTCGACAGTACTTAAAAGCCGTCGCTGTCAGTGATTAGCAAATATCACGAGTGCATACTGCCTACACCCTTCCATCTCCTTCTCCTCTCCCTCTCGCGATACAGCAACAAGCCTTGCAACCCCTCCTCCCGTGCAACGCATACCCTTCCAAGCTTTCTGCGATCGCATCCCCCCGCCTCGTACCCCAGTCATATTTCCTACCATGATCACTCGTTTCGTCTTTGCGCGAGCATTAACGAGGGCTTAAAGCCCTATTAAAGTAAACTACACATAGACATAGTAGTCGGATATATAGATTGTCGATTCGTTTCAGGTGAGAAATCGAATCGCGTGATATGTTGATTTTAAAATAAATGTTTCTTGCGATCATTATAGGATAATCACGCATGAAAGATAAAAGTTTACGAGTGAAAAGTAAAAATTTTATGATAAAGATAGTAGAATCTTCTCGAAAGTTTTGAAACAATTAATTTATCAGTAAATTAAAGAATCATATTTACATTATTTATAATTTATATTAATAAATGTAAAAAAAAATTATTCATATATTCTATTTCTCGTATTTAAAAAAAATTTAGATAATTGACGATTATCAACGACGATTATTTCAACGACTTTGCCATAAAACTTGCAACTCTACAACGGTCAAATCAATACGCAAAAAAACGTTTGAAAAACGCTCGTGCAATGCGCTTGATATTGCACGAACGCTCAAATAATAACAAATCGGTTGATCTGCATATAATTTCAAAAGGCACTTGACGGCGTTAAAAATAAATTCATCGTAACGAGTTTTAAAAACGAAACTCGCAGAGAACGAACCATCGGCATGTGATATATCATACCGCGAAGATATCATACCGAGCGCGATATTCGCGTGAGCAGAAAAGTGTGGAAATATCTCACGGGTTCTCTTCGTAAAAATATATATCGTGGTAATGTCGCGGCGAAAGCAATGTAGCCGGTAAAAATTGAGCATTGCAATAAACCTTGTTACCTCTTTGACACTTGTAAGAAGCGATATATTGTGTGCGTGTATATACACACGCGTCACAAATTGCCACGCGATTTATTATTCCTCTTTGAACTTTCCCTTGTCGGTAATCTTGATAATAATACACACGCGATCTTTCTCTGACTTTCTCGTCTTTTGCGAGACAAGCATCTTTCTATAGGTTCCTTGTAAAATATCGAGATGCTTTTCATGCGGTTAAACTTTTTTGCGAAGAATTTCGAATGGCCGGTATGTCTTTTTTTTTTTTTTTTTTTTTTTTTTAATATAATATCACCAAAGTTTATCAGTTATCAGAAAATATTTAATTTCATTTTTTATTTTATCTTGTGTAGCCGTGATATTTTATATTTAATATTTTATATTAGAGAAATACAATATTTTACATAAATGGAATACTGTTAAGTCTGCATGCTGTAAACGACTCGAACTATTCGATCTATTGATGAAACCGACATGGATTGCGCCCTCATTACTACCGCGAACTAGGCTAATTATTAATTAGCTGACTACGTATAGCTCTTTAGATTAATATACCTATTATAATTGGATAACGATCTGAGACCGAAGCGGCAACTACAAAGCTACAACTTCGTCTACATCCGCTTACGTGCACATACCTTGACTAGGTTCACATTAAATTATAATCTGCTTCGTAAACGTTTCCCTCGAAATCAATTCACATTACACTGTGCCACATCTTCGAAATATAATACTCACTTTAATAAATAAAATCTATCTCATTGAATATTATATATATATATATAAAATTTCAATTAATTTTTATCATAAATTAGCTGGCTCTTACCATTCCTCCTCAATTAACTGCTAAGTTGTTTAGTCAAATATTTAAATACCGTTACCTTTAATTATATTTTATTTGTACGGTATAAATATAAAATAATGAATCTAAACACAATCTAAATAAATATTGTTTTAATCTCTTTTTAATCAAACTATTTTTGAACTATGTAGAATTATGCCTGTTATCTTAAATATTTAAAATATCCTATAACACAAATAAATTCTATCGAGAGAAACTGCTTATGCTAGATATTTTGATGTTTCTTCCGGCCCCTCATTAGTTTGCTTATAACTTGAATTTGTAATTTTGAGCACTTCAATTTAACAAATTCGGTCGGCAACCGAAATCTTTTGTAATCTTTTCGAATGACCGTGAGATCATACGAAGAACCCCAGCAACACGCATGCGGATCCTTTTGCATGCGTCTCCGCTCGGACTAATTAGACAAGCATTTACTACTCATGCGTAATAATGCTAATCCTACTTTTCGGTGTCAATACATAGCCAGCAGTTGTGATAGGATGAATCGGGATACGATTGAAAACGTATGTACGCCACCGGCGCGGCGGCACACGCACGCACGCACGCACGCACGCACGCACGCACGCATGTACACATGTACGCATATACGTACGCACAGAGAGAGGCATCGTCGTACTAATCCAAGCTGAATAGAGAGATTTCAATGTTTTTATGCTGGGGCACAATGGAGTACCCACTTGATGCTTAGCTCTCCACTGCTTTTTATTAAATCTACGGTGCGCCGACGCCTGATGTGGACCAGGAGACTCGGGCAGAGTAGGGATAGTCGAGAGGGTGAGGCTTGCAGAGCGAAATTAAAAATTTATTTACCGTGCCGATCGGGCACATGTCGAATCATTACGTCGTGAGGCGCCAAAGAAATCGCCTGCGGGCATAAAGTCATCGATAAAAACGTCCGCATAATTATTGAGATGATGAGGGGAATCGCAACGATTCATAAATTCACGAATTAATAATTTAACAATTTATGAAAAATATTAATAAAAAGAATAATAATAGTCGTGATATAATCAGTGGACGCAATTTATAATATTTCAGTAACGAAGTTTTTGATCTTATATTGTTTTGTGTACCTAAACGCGTATATTATTCAGCCTTTTGACTTATGTTCTCGACCGTATGAGCTTTTTCCTAGAAAATTGTTTTATCTTAAAGTGTTATTCTTGGTATCACGTTTATAAACGGCTCTTAAACCTTCCATTATATGCGACAATTTCAAAAATATAATATAGTAAAAAAAATCATAATGTATTATTATGACAAATATACAATAAAATATGGGAGAAATCCTTTCTTCTTGTTCATGTTTATATTTATTGTGTATAACGACAATTTAGAAATAATATCCCAGTAAGTAAGAAACATTTCGTTGCTGAAACAATGTTGTTGAAATGTTCCAAAATGTTTCTTGCTTACTGAGATATTATGTTCCTGAGAATTTTGAGAAATACAAAATTCATTATTGTCACGTTGAAATTCCCTGGAGACCCTCGATGGTCAAAATTTTATAGCTCTGGTATTTAGCTCAATCATCATTTCTTAAATTGCAAAAATTTGAAAAGAAAGAAAGAATCTAAGGCTGAATGAAAAAGGAATAGGAATCAAGTGAATTTATTTTATTTTTACAACTTGTCTTTAACAATAATTGGAGAAGAATGAAAAATATTTTTGTATGACTAGACCAATTTGGAATCATTTGTCCTCGCGATAGAGACCCGTGCGCCTATGCGTCTATACGGATTATACGCTTAAGCGTTAAACGTTAAAAGGGATTTGCGATCCGTTCAGT